CCTGATTAAAAAAACACCAAAAACCTTTCATAAGCTAGGAATAGAAAGGAACTTCTTCAATTTGTTAAAAGATATCTACAAAAAGCTACAGCCAATATTGTATTAAGTGGTAAAAGTCTAAACATTTTCCCTGAAGCTCATTAATTCTTTCTTTGGCTATATTGAGTCTGCTGTTGAGCCTGGCGTCCCTAGGAGTAAGATTCATGGGCAGCTGATAGGGCTGCTGTTTTGCTATTACAATCAGAAAAGAATCAAAAAGCAGGAGCCTGAGGGAAATTGTTTCATTAAAAAGTGAGGGTCCTGCTCTTTGCCATGTCTTCTGTGAGGATGAAGACCGTTCTCAGCAATCAGACTGTGGATATCCCAGAAAATGTGGACATCACTTTGAAGGATCGCACAGTTATTGTGAAGGGCCCCAGAGGCACCCTGCAGAGAGACTTCAATCACATCTATGTAGAACTCATAGAAGTTCTACATAGTTTTCTTTTTGGAAAGAAAAAGAAGAGGCTTGGGGTTGTTGACAAATGGTAGTGAAATAGAAAGGAACTGGCCATGGTTCACACTATCTGCAGTCATGTACAAAACATGTTCAAGGATGTTATACTGGGCTTACTTTACAAGATGAGGTCTGTGTACGCTCACTTCCCCATCAATGTTGTTTTCAGGAGAATGGTTCTCTTGTTGAAACCAGAAATTTCTTGGATGAAAAATACATCCTCAGGGTTTGGGAGGTCGGGCATTGCTTGTTCAGTATCTCCAGCCCAGAAAGATGAGTTGATTCTTGAAGGAAATCACATTGAACTTGTATCAAATTCAGCTTCTTTGATTCAGCAAGTCAAACCAGTTAAAAACAAGTATATCAGAACATTTTTGGATGGTATCTATGTTTCTGAAAAAGGAACAGTTCAGCAGGCAGATGAATAAGATCTAAGTTGTCCAGCTATAGAAACAGCAAGAAGCCAAATGATTCCTCAGGCTTATTTGCAATATTTTAAAGATGCAATAAAAGCCATGTATTGATCTTTGGGGGGAAAGTGAGGGTCCCTTGCTCAGTTTCCTGACTTGAGTCAAATTTCAGATCTGGATCCAGTTGTCTGGAGATGCCCATGTCTCTCAGAGGAATGACCCTACAACGTTGTAGCAAACATAGGTCCCTCCCCAAAGGAACCTATGGACATTTATTTGAGTTACTATCCACTGGGGAAAGGAGACCACCCAGATATCTTAGGACTATTGCACACAAATTTCTGAGTTGAAATGAAGTCCCAGACACTCAAAGCATCACCATGGCCATCCTGTTGGAAGGGAGCTTACTGGGTCCAAGTTATAAGTGCAGTTCTGGCTTAAATCTGAGTCACAGTGGCCCAATGCATCTATAGACTTACCCAGTGGTCATTTCCTCAATCTCCAAGTGTATAACTGGAATTCACATACTTAGCAGTTGTACTAATCTACACATTGGCCTGTGTGGTTAGAGCTTTCATAGTGGGGAACACCAAATTGAAACCTCTGCCTCCTGTCTCCTCCATCAACCAAGATGTTAAATTGAAAACAATATTGCACCCTAGGTGATGATGGAGTTAGTGCCACCATTAAGGACTTAAAGGATGCAAGGTATAAGAGGTGGTGGTCCTCATTATATTTCTGTTTAATTCCTCCTTCTGGCCACTACAGAAACCAGCTGGATCCTGGAGAGTGAGTTTAAACTACCACAAGCTCAACCACACAAAGTTTAACTTCACATGAGAGAAATACAGCACATCATGGGCCTCTTTGGGATCTAGAGGTAACATATTCCACACCTAGAAATATTTCTCTGTCTCATATACAGGGTAACACAGGAGCCTACAAGCTTTGAATGGGGGCAGGAAAGGCTCTGCAACAATACCAGGCTATTCTGTGAGAAGGCTTGTTGCTTGAACCATGTGATCTGGCTGATCTATGGCGTCCAAGGTGTCAGTGGTGGGAAAAGATACAGTGTGAGAATCAGGTCTCTGGGATTTGAGAATAAAGCCATGGAATCTGAGACAGAGAATTATACTACTTTTGAAAAATCACGTTCAGTGAGTTACTCTGTTACTCCTGGTGAGTCACGCTGTTAGGCACCATAAACCTCATTTTGACATGCCATTCCAGTACATTTACTGAATAGCTCACAAAACTGCCAATTGTCAGTGTGCCCCAGGAAAAAATACACTTTGAAATAAGTCTGGTCTACCATACACACTGTGTATTGGGCCATATGACCTAGCATATCATATGGTGCTTGAAGTGTCTATGACAGACAGAAATGAGTATGGAGCTTTTGAAAGGTCCCTGTCTGTGGGTCACAGTATATTCCATGAGGAGCGTAGCAATACCACTTTCTGCAGATAATTTTTTGGAGAAAGTTTCTAGATTGCTATTGACCCTAACTGAGGGTCCTCCCTTTGCCCTGAGTCCTCCCCCTAAAAGTTAATAACTATCCTGAATTTTAATACCAGAGAGGAGAATTCCATAGATTAGATGGTATATTTGTGACCTTGGAAAAATAAACTAGAAAAAAAAGGGGCAATTTGAAACTCCAGGAAAATAAAATTCTAAGCGAAAACTAAATAATTATTGGAAATAATTTGCTTTCTTATAAATTTCCTTATTTTATAAATTTTCTTGTTCATATTGTTTGGTTATTTTAAAGACCATGACTTTTAACTTCTATGTCTGAATTACCAGTGGGTCTGCTTCTACCGTCCACTTTTTACTTAGTTTTATTCTGGGTGTGCCTGGTAATTTTTGATTGAATACCACTGTGCATGAAAAGTTGAAGAGGCTATAGATGACTTGTAGTTTCTGACAGGCAACTATAGTAGGAGCAAATTACTTTAACTCAGTTAGCTCATGAGCTAATTCAAAGTAGGGTATCAATCTTTTAAAGATTTACTTCCACCCATTCTTAGGTAAAGTTCTTCAGAGGATCCAATTGAAAGTTTGCAGTATTTACAAGGGCCTATCATCACTGGTGGGATCTGAGCTTAAGTTTGATCTACTTGGCACATAATTCTGCTGAAAGCTCTTAATACTTCAGGCACTAGGCTGCTGTGCATCTCTGAATCTGTCTCATGACATTTACCAATCAGCGAGCTCATTGTGGAAAAAGGTAGCTCAATCTATTGGGCTTATTTCTCTTCACTTCTCGTTTCCACAGTATTGCCACTCAAGTCCCACTGTCTTAGCTCAGGGTTCCCTTGGGTCCTAAAAGCCAACTTCAGTTCTTTGCCACATGGGTTTTCTCAACATGGTTGTTTTCATCAGGACAGCAAGAAAAATTTCTCTCCAGTCTGCTATGTTAGAGTCACAGAATGTAACAAAGTCATTGGAATTCCATTACCTTTGCCATAATCTATTGGCTAGGAACCTCAGTTCTGCCCACACTCAAGGGAAGAGGATTATATAAGGCAGAAATCATTGGGGTCACCTTGGTTGTGCCTGACACAACTGCTGACAACAAGACAAGGAGAAGAGGGGAATGTGAGCATTTAAAAATATCACAGTGAATGAGCTTTTTATTTGGTGTCAGAAGTCAGTTTTATCTCCTTATGTTGTGGTACTTTTGACAGTTCACTACATCCCTCCTCACCTGTAAAATTTGTTAGCTGATAATTTATATCACAGGATTTGGTGGTTACAAACTGAAGAACTATGGAGATACTTTTATTTTTATCAAGAAAATAACATTCCAGATACTAAAATCACAGGAAACCTATTCTCAAGATGCAAAGTACATACTCAAAACCTTACACTCAGACAATCACATGGAAAATGAATAGGCAATATATATATATATGAAAATAAGGTCATTTTTAAGAGAATGATGTCATATATGAAAGACAAAACTGAACGGGAAAATAAATGGAAAACAGAATTAAGTATACACAAGATTAAACAATTTATTTTATTAGTTTCTGGAGACTACATTTAAAAATCATTAACAATCCTAACATCCAAGTGATAATTTGCTTAATAATTTGGTGTATTTCCTTCCTAGTTTTTTGTTTTGTGTCTACCTACACCCCCCTACACACAGCCCTAAAATGATGTAAATATAATACAAATATATGTTTACTTATATATGTGCATATAATTTTACTCATCATAAAACTGCTATATTTCTACCACCCAGAATCACTGATATAAATGGTGAATATCTATCCTCTATGTATTTCTTTACAAGGCAGATCATGTAGTATATTGCTTTATAATGTTTTTTTTACTTAACAGATTATCATGAACTTTTCCCCCCAAAAACAATAATTTGTAATTGGTGCATATTATCCCATCTTTTTATATAGTTTTAATCAATTGCTTATTATTGGATATTAAATTTTTTATTTTATTTTTTTGTTATTTTAAATAATATTGCTGTGATGGGAGATACACTGAAAATTAAAAATCTTTTATTGCCATATAAAATGAAGCATAAAATGTAACCACAGCCCGGCCGGGCGTGGCTCAGCGGTAGAGCATCAACCTAGGATCCAGCAATCGGGGTTCTATTCCCTGTCAGGGCACATGCCCGGGTTGCGGGCTCAATCAATGACTCTCTCATCATTGATGTTTCTATCTCTCTCTCTCCCTCTCCTTTCCTTTCTCTGAAATTAATAAAGATATATTAAAAAAAAATGTAACCACAAAATGATTATCCTTTCTTAAAAGACAAAATATGTTGTAAGCACTGTTCCTAAGCAAGTTGTGTTGAAGCTTACTATATGTATTTTCTGTAACGGGTTTGCAATTCTGCACTGAAGATGTTGATAAATATGTGGAAGATCTCCTTTTTGAACTCCTTTCTTGGCTCATGCTGACTCATCTTTTCTCACTCTAAGAAATAAACTGGGAGTTTGCCTTAGCTAAGATTAATATTTTATCCTTTATTATACTATTTTTTTAAAATCCTCACCAGAGGATATTTTTTCCCCATTGCTTCTCAGAGAGATTGGAAGGGAGGAAGTGGGGAGAGAGAGAGAGAGATTGATGTGAGAGACACATCGATTGGTTGTCTCCCATGCATACACCAACTGGGGCCAGGGACTGAGTTGCAACCAACATATGTACCTTTGACCAGAATCAAACTCGAGACCCTTCAGTCCACGGGCCAACACTATAACTACTGAGCCAAACTGGCTAGGGCTATTATACTGTTCTTTCAGAAATGTCATACTCTATTCCACAATGAATATATCTTAGTGTTATTAATGAGTGCTTGTTTGCAACCTCTGTAACCATTTCCACAAAATGTTTGGTATAGAATATGAACATATTTCTCTCATAATTTCTAACAGTTTTATAAACTAATTAAATTTTTAGTTTTTCCTCAGCATAAATACTCTGATAAGCAATGCCATTCAAATTCTCTCTAAAGGCTTTCCCACACCAAAACACTCACAGTTTTGCCACTTTTGAATTCTTTGATATGCAATTTGCCATGCATGCATAAGAATTCTGGGTGAAAAATTGATCACATTTATTATATGTTTCTGCAATTACACTTTTGTACTTTTTATTAAGTTAAATGAAATTAAGTAATATATGTAGAATTTCTGACCTTTAAGTGTTAATTTCCCAGATGAATTGTTATATAATGAGGTATAACTACTAGTGATGATACCCCACTCTGAAGTATATTATGAAGTTTTATCTCCTGAATGACTTCTCTGATGTTTAATGAGAGTTGACTTCCCACTGAAGGCTTTACCACATTCTTTGCACTCATAGGGTTTCTCTCCTGTATGAGTTCTATGATGTACAATGAGAGTTGATTTCACACTGAAGGCTTTCCCACATTCACTACATTCATAGGGTTTTTCCCCTGTATGAATTCTCTGATGTTTAATGAGAGTTGACTTCCTACTGAAGGCTTTCTTACAGTCACTACATTCATAGGGTCTCTCTCCTGTATGAATTCTCTGATGTTTAATCAGTGGTGACTTCTCACTGAAGGCTTTCCCACATTCAGTGCATTTATAAGGTTTTTCTCCTGTATGAGTTCTCTGATGTACAATAAGGGTTGATTTCTCACCAAAGGCTTTCCCACATCTTCTGCATTCATAAGGTTTCTCTCCCGTATGAGTTCTATGATGGACAGAGAGGTGTGATTTTCCACTGAAAGTCTTCCCACATATGCTACATTCATAGGGTTTTTCTCCTGTGTGAATTCTCTGATGAACAGAGAGGTGTGACTTTCCCCTGAAGCTTTTTCCACATTGGCTGCACTCATAAGGTTTCTCTTTTGTATGCATTCTCTGATGTTTAATGGGGGTGGGCTTCTCATGAAAGGCTTTCCCATGTTTACTGCACTCAAGTTTCTCACCTATATGAGTCCTTTGTTGCATAAGGCTGGATTTACCGCATTTGATACCTTCATAAAATGCTTGTCTAATGTGTGTTTTTTCATGTCTAATAAGGTGATAGGAACTCTTAAAAGCTTTTGTACATTCACCACATGCAAATGGTTTCTCTCCTGTATGAGTTCGCTGATGTTTAATCAGGGTTGACTTCTGGATAAAGGTTTTTCCACATTCATTGCATTCATAGGGCTTCTCCCCTGTATGAGTTCTCTGGTGTGCGATGAGGGTTGACTTCTGGCTGAAGGCTTTTGCACATTCACAGCATTCATAAGGTTTCTCTCCAGTGTGAGTTCTCTGATGTACAACAAGGTTTGCTTTCTGGATAAATGCTTTTCCACAGTCAGAACATTCATAGGGTTTCTCCCCAGTTTGAATTCTCTGACTTTTAAGAGTTTGCTTATGGTTGAGGGCTTTTCCATGTTGATTAGGTTCAAAGAACTTCTCTCCAGGTTGAGCTTCATCAAGATCAGACTGGAAGCATACTTTCCAATATCCCTGACATTCATCATTTTTCTTTCTTACATAGCTTCTATTTTGACTAAGAAAGTTTAAATTATGTTTTGAACATCTTTCCCATGAATAATGTTTAAGGAGTCTTTGTCTTATAGAAACAAGGTCTGTGCTAGGATAAATAATTTTTCTGCATGTTCTTATTTCTTGGTCACTTTCATCTTTCAGTGTTTCCTGGTGTATAAATGTAGCTTGCCACAGAGATTTATCTTGGCTTTCCTTGTGGTTGTCTTTCTGGTCATCAACTTGCAAGAATTCTAGAAAAAAATGCAATGAATAATCAAACTTGTAAATGCTTCTACTATACTGTTCTGAGATAAAATTAATTCACAAACATCCTGCTGAGAAATCGTATCAATAGGCTTGAGCTGATGTGGATATACCCTCCCTATGCTTCTCCACCCCTCCTCACCACAGTCACGCTCAAAATCAAGAAAATAAATTCATTACATGTGAAAAGTGAAGTGGGAATTTAAAGTGGTAGGATGAAAAGAAACTGAAACTTGAGAATTTGCAGGGGAATCTAGACCACAGGGCACAAATGTTCAGGAATGTAATTTGTGCTTACAGCTGGAATCACAAGGGGTTTCCATGCTTGTTTAACAGCCACTAGAAAGACTCTCTACTGGTCAAGGAAATTTGAAATAGGGACATTATATATAAGAAATTAAAAACCTAGTTCTGTAACCCAATCCAAATGATTATCAGTGTAGTATAGAAACAACAAGTTGAAAAATTAACCTAAAAATTGGTCCTGTTATTAGCAGATTCCTAGCAGTGGGAAACTTTTCAAAAGGTATAGTATTCTTATGTTTTTATAGCATAGGGCTCACAAAACATCTATGGAAAACCAATTCTCACTGAAGAGCTCACAGTAAGCAATTAAAACCTCACAAAGAAATGAAGCATCATAAGAGAATCAACAGATACATTTGAAGATATTTCCACATTCCTAGAAGTGTAGAACCATATGGACTTTAAAATAAATGCATTTCAACTGTACAAAGATATCAGGTAAGAACTGGACTATGGGTGAAAAACAGGAAGTTTGGGAAACACAAAGATAAAAATAAAATATATGTGTTGTTAAAAAAAAAACTAGAAAGGTTGAATTAGTCACAGATTTAATGAATTAGATGACAGAGTTTGAGAAATCACACAAAATGTAGCATAAAGAGCTAACAAAATGGAAATATGGTAAGAGAAATGATAAGTTCCAACATAGGTTTAATATAAAATCCAAATGGAAGAACAGAGGAAAATGGAGAGGGACAATATGCCAATAAATAGGTTAACAGAGAAGCTTTGAGAATGCTATACTTAGATAGACCTGCTTTAAAGGTTGGCTCTTGGCTGATATCTGGGAATTTGGAGTTCAGGAACATCCCTACCATTCCTTAAGAGATAAGGCTACTCGTACAAACAATGCGATTTATGCTGAACATTTCCTTTCATTCTGGGAGTATGGCATTTTGGTATGTGCTAAGCCAAGTTTGTGTATCTGACCAGCCTCCAACAAAACCTGAGGGTGGTGAGTCTCTAATGGGCTTACTGGGCATAAACATCATACAGATTGCTGAATTTTCACTGCTAGGAGAAATGTGTCCTGTGTGACCCTTCATGGGAGAGAGCAAGCATAAGGAATCCTATACATGAATTCCTCCAGAATCTATTAGTGTCTTTCCCCCTTATGATCTAGTTGTATATGCTCACTACATCACTGTGATACCTCTTAACTAAATACAACTATATGCTGATTCCCATGAGTCCTTCTTGAGATTCTCTGAATCTGGTAATGATCTTGGGGGCCCCCAATTTAGGCAAAAAGAGCCAAAAGATTAAAGAATATTTTCAAAGTCCTGAGAGAACCTGTCATTTTAGAATTCTATCCCTAGATAAATTATTTCAAAGAAAGATGACAAATAAAGACGTTTTTGGACTAGAAAAGACAGAGAATTTGCCACAGCATGGCTAAGAATAATGCTTGGTACTTGAAATATTCAGGAGGAAAATGGCCAAAGGTGAAAAGGGAATTAAAGAAAATTCATCAAAAGTAGGAAAAAAGAGGTAAAGAAAAAGCAGGATATATAGAAAATACAAACAAGGAAGAAATACAAATATAGTAATGGCACAATAAATAAATATTAACTAAAGGCTAACCATATTAAATTGCATTTTAAAAAATCAGCTCTTTGTTTTCAAAAGACAATTAGAGCAAAACGAGAGAGAAATGTTGAAAATAAAATTATGGAAAGAGATACACCTGGCACTTAAAAACCAAAAGAAAACTGGTAAAACATTGCTTAATGTTATACAAAACAGAATGACTTTAATGTCAAAAGCAAATAAGGACAGAATATGAGCATATTATAAAGCAATTTCATTTACATAGATGCAAAACTCTTAAACATACAAGGCAAACTGATCCTATTTATGAGAGAAAAGAGGTAATACATCTAGTGATATTGAAAATGTACATTCCCTACTAGGTAATCCACTTGTAGTTATACCCTAGACAAATTCTGCAAATGTGAGCCTGGATATATGTATAAGAACACCTACAAAGTATTAGAAATAACCAAATGCTCACCAATGTCTGAGTATTGCAGTATGGATTAATGAACCACGATACTCAGACATTGGAATACCATACAAGAGTTAAAATGAATAAACTAAACATAACGTATCAACATAGGTAAAGCTCAAAGTGCAATGCTGAATACAGAAAGTAAGTTGTAGAAAGACCCCTATTGTTTGAGAACACTAATCTGGTAAATTTACAAAAAGAATGTTATACTGATTACAGACACAAATACATGTAGTAAAAGTATAAAAACAAGGATTAGAAGAATACTCACCATATTCTTGATATTGTTTGTCCAGGGAGAGAATGAGAGGAGCAGGTGTCAAGAGGGGAAGATGGGGCTTCACTTTTATCTGTAAACCTCTCTATCTTTTATTAAAAACAAACACCACCACAGAATTAGCAATGTTAACATTTGCTAATTCTGGGAGGTAAGTACAGTGTATTTGTTACGGCTATGATTTGTATACTTTTCTGCAATTTTAAGAGAAATGCCTTAAGGTAGGACTTCTGGAACAGTGGAGTGGGGACCTCAGTAAACCCTTTCCCCCATAAAAGCAATGAAAATACTTGAAAAAATATAAAAATCCATCATTTCAAGACATTGGAAAATAACCAAAAGCATACAACAAATTAATAAGATTTACTCAAGAAGAACTAGTGAACTTCAGTAAAAACAACTAAGTCTGTGATGTTTCATTTGGTACTACTTACCTCCCTACTCCCCAGACCTCATATAGCTCTGTGGTCCATGAGTGGTGAAAACTGGCAGCCTCACAGCAAACCAGGTGGCTGACCTGTTTTGAAGCTCTGCCAAAAGCCCATCCCCAGATTGTTGTCACTATTTGACCTAACTTGGAGCTCAGCTCCAAGAAAGAAAGAATATATGGTAACTCAAATCCATGTTAGGAAATAAATACCATCAGTAAAGGTAACATGCAGAAAAAGTGTTAACACAGCAAGCTTGGCTCTGGTGTAATCTGGCAACTAGGTTTTTGGAATGTTCACTATGTTGATAAGACTATTTTGCCTACTTGAGGTGCTGAATCTGTTCTTCTGGAAGTCTAGATGCCTGCCCATTTTAGAGGGGGATTTTATGACCTGAGGTGTTTATATTTACTGGACTAATTTGGAATCTCCCACAGACAAAGTTAAGAGGGATTTTTAGAAAGCTTTACTGGGACTTTCCCTCTTAAAAGCATGCACAAGCCTTTCAATTCCCCCATCTTCTTCCCCTTTAGGGACCTTACCTTTTTCTTTCCCTCTCCTAATCTTCAAGGGCCCTTCTTTTGCTTCTGTAACATGTTTCAGAAGCCCAGCTGGCTCACTTCTACTATCTCTTGTAATTTGAGTTCTTGGCTCTGAACTCAAGAATAGAGGTCCAGTTTCGCCACCAACACTGCTGTTAACACCCCAGCTCATTCTCAGTCTCATGGATTCAGTGATTACTCTCAACTCCATTCTGCAGAATATTCCATCAGGATTCCAAGATGGCAGTAGGTTAAGTGGAAGCCACAATGACACTTTCCTAGACCAAACTGGAATTACAAATAAAATATAGAAAAACTATCCTGAATAATCAACTGAAGACTAATTGGAGAGCACCCTCATAACCAAAGATAAAAAGTGGAGACAGCATAGAGACTGGAAGTGCAGAGGCACAAGAGGGATGGCTGGGCTCCTACAGGCAGCAGCTGAACGTCCAGAGGGATATATCAGCTGTGGGGGTTCTCACTGAGAACTCTGGGTTCTAAACCCAAAACTGGGTTCCCCAGACCAAAGGACCAGAACTGAGAAAGGTGCCCACATAACAACTGGCTGTGAAAAGCAACAAGGTTTCTGTCTGCCAGGGAGAGATGGCTGGTAATGCAGGCACCCACTTAAAGGGCTAACACACAAAATTTTCATGTACAGCCACTCACACTGGGCTCTAGTAGAGGGACAGTAGAGTGGACTAGAGCTGCATGAGGAAAACCCAGGGGTGGTGGCTCTGGGGATAGAGCTCGGAGGGCAATCATCTGGATTCCTTTACTGAGTCATTCCCCAATACTGCAGAAGACATATTTCTCAGGCAGACTTTTATCATCCAAGCAGCTTTAGCTTGGGAGGGGAGGGGAGCAAATGCTTCACCCATTGGAAAACCTCTCACCCCACCCTGTGCAGTTGAAATCTTGCTGTGGTCTACAGCTTAAGGCTCATTAAGAGACTCATAATAACAATCAGCCTGCAGGCAAAGGTGGACCTCTGGGAGCTTTGAGTCTTTGCCTGATCTGCTTCTGGACCTGGCACTTGGAAAAGCAAAACTTGATGCACATCTTGGTCCTTTCCAAACACACCCAGCCCCAGCAGAGGGAGTCACAAGCCATGGATTGCTTAAAGTTTCAAACAGGTATCCAAGGCCAGTACAAACAGTGTCTGACATTGACATTGGCCTGCATCAGAGAGCTTTGAAAAAGACAGAGTCCTAGCAGATCTACCTAATACATAGAAACAAACCCAAGAGGCAGCCAAAATGGGAAGACAAAAAAACACACACAAAAAAACCCCCCAAAACCCAAACAAACCCCAAATGAAAGAACAAAAGAATTCTACAGAAGAGACAAATGAAATGGAGATAAACAATCTATCAAATATAGAGTGCAGAATACTAACTGTAAGAATGCTCAACAGCAT